CAAGAACAAAGGAATTAGGGGCTGTTCTTACCGAAAAATATGCCCAGAAATCACCCACAATCAAGAGCAGCCGGCGGAAGGACAAAGCAGAGCAGGGTAGATCCGGCTTCTGCAGAGAGGGAGGGGAAATTTCTGGGTTCTAAATCAGGTTCTTGGACAAGAAAAGAAGGGAAAAATCAAGCTTTCTCACCGGTTTCTCAAGGCTGGTGGGGTTCCCTTTCTTTTTTCTTTCGGGTGCAGCGGGAAGACAAGAAGAGCAGAAACGGGCTGGAGAAGAAAGAGGAAAAGGGAGAAAAGAAATAAGCCATCCTTATCCAAATTCTCCTCTTTTAAGTCCCTCAAGTTTGGGAATGTTGGCTATTAAGCCCAAAACAATCTTTTCTCACAATCAAGTCCTTATCTTACACTTAAATATTCCCGAAAATTTGGGATATTACAAAACTAATGGTAGCTTGAAATTTCTAACAAATCGATTAACTTGTTGGTGTTGCTGATTATGTTCCTAGAAGTTCATAACAAGCGAATGAGTTTGTTGTTGTGAAAACAGTCATTGAACTTTATCCAGGAAAGATCTACATCAACAAAACAACTTTTCAACAAACAAAATTCCTTCCAACATGGATGACATGTGGCGCAATTCTATCTATTGCAAAATTAGATGTAAACATTGTCCCCAATTTTTGGCCTTATGAGAGTAGGTACCAAAAATTTAGGACCTTAGTGACAACACCCAGCTTCTTCTTGAGCTACTGAATGGTAACCCATTTGAAGTTTGCCAAGTTGTTGATAAAAAAGAGGCATTTAATGTTGTTGAGATTCTGAGTAAAGGTCCCACCTTAGATGCATCAGTGTGCATGTTCTGGAATGATTTCCTTATTGTCTATAAGAACTTTAGCCAGTGGTTTATGAATGAGGAGAAAGTTGTGTTAGATGCATCTGCGACAACATATCTTGCTCGATAGCATAAAGAAGCAATAGAGAAGAAAAAGAGTATTTATGAAAAGGTGAGAATTGCTCTTAACACCCAAACCAAATAGCATCAAAACAACCTAGATGAGATTACCAAACTAGAAGCTTGCTTGGTTGAGTTGAGAAAGGCAACAATAGAGGAAAAAGGCAGCCTCAAATCCTTTAAAGTCGAGAGAAGCAAACTGTTAATTAAGCTTAAAGAAGAAGGGCGTGAAGCATTGGTTGCAAAAAGTGAGGCTACACAACAGGAGGATAAAGCAAAGGAAGCCAACAACACACTGTAGCAAATGAGAGATGAATGGACCACCCAGAAGCAAAACCTTTGTTAAGTTTCTTCTTTTTTTTCTTTTTTGGATGCTTCACTTGCCCATTTGTTTGTGCCTAATGTGGAATTGAGTTAAGCAAACAAAATCCCAAGTCTTTTGCAAAAGCCTCTACTGGAGATGCAATAAAGGCAATACCATGATCAGAAGTGATAGTCTATGGAAGGCCAAACCTTTGGATTAGATCCTTTTTTATGAACTTGAAGATATCCCCTTATTCAACCTTCTTCATAGGCCACAGCTCTACCCACTTAGTAAAGCAGTCTATAGCAATGACTATAAAAGAGTGGCCTTTAGAAGAAAGTGGATAAATTTTCCCAATTAAATCAATTGCCTAGCCACGAAAAAGCCATGGCTTGACAATAGGATGTAATTCAGAAGCTAGCACTCGTTGTAGAGAACCATGCAGCTGACAAGCTCCGTAGCCCTTTGCATAATTGATGCAATCCTTAAGAATAGATGGCCAAAAGAAACCATGCCTTTGAAACAATAAACATCTCCGAGTACAACAAATAATGCCTCAATTTTATTGCTACAAAGAACAAAACCAAACATAATTTTTCAATCAAAGAATATTTCACTTCGATTGAGTTTAAAGTTTTACTCAAATAATAAATAGCTTATTGTTGTTTATTGTTATTCTTTTGCGCCAACAGACAACCAATTAACTCATCGGTAGCGAATATATACAGTAGTAATGGTTTATTCTTAACTAGAGAGACCAATACAAGCGACTTGGACAAGTATTTCTTGATGGCGTCAAAGGCGGCTTGGTGCTACCTGTCCTATTTAAAATCTGTGTTAGGCTACAACTTCAAAAGAGGTGAAAAGACAGGAATCTTGCCTGCCAAATTGAGATAAACCCCTTTAGGAAATTAACCTAACCAAAAAACCTTTGTAATTCCTTTTTATTTTGTGGTGGTTGCACTTCAATTACGGCCCTTGCTTTGTTTTTGTCCACCTCTAGACCTCATTCATGAACCAAACAACCCAAAAGTTTCTTGTAGTGACACCAAAAGCACACTTGAGAGCATTCATTTTCAAGCCATGTTGTCGCTTCCTTTCAAAAGCTTTCCTCAAGTGCTCCAAATGTTCTTCCTCCATGGATTTGACAACAACATCATCGATATAAATCTCCATGAAGTGGCCAATCATGTCACGGAAAATTGCATTCATAGCTCGCTAGTATGTAGCTCCTGCATTTTCCAACACAAATGGCATCACGATCCATTCATTTGTACCTATGTTTCTAGGACAGCAAAATGTTGTTTTGCATATGTCATCTTCCGCAATAAAGCTAAAAGATAATTTACAAATTAAGGTCTAGAAACTTGTGAAATTAAATCATAATCTAGAAATTAAAGTTAAACAATGTAATACCCCAAAGTTTGAGCACTTATGTTGAATAATTAATTAATTAATTAATTTAGGTATGAGATGACTAATATAGAAGGGGATTTTAATAGGGGATCAAATTGCCTAACGCTTCAACGCTTCAATCTTGGGGATGTTAATAGTACAAAAAAAAAAAAAAGAAGAGAGAATGAGGGTTGAAGTTTAAATAGAAGGAAAACCAAATCCCTTTTTAGGTTTATCTTTTCTTTTTGGAATTTTCCTCTTCTCTTCTATTCCAATTCCAAATCAAGAAGCCGTCAATGTCTTAGCCTCTTTACGATGCTGCTTCTTCTAATCAAAATCACTACCTTCTGTTCTTCCTTCCTTGTTTGAGATTTGAATGCTCAATGTGTGCTCCTTCTATAACTTTTCTAGTAAGAAAAATAGCCACAGTTCATGTTTCCATCCTTGATTGAGTTGGGTTAACTTTAATCTTTTGTTATTTTTGATTTTAGGTTAGTTTCCTGTAGTTTTTCATTTTGATTTTACCAACCACATGATTAACATCACTGATCTCCTTGCTAGAAAAATTCTATATGTGAACCATGTATTTTTTTGCACTTTTGTGTTGAGATTTTTTGATTGATATACCTCGTTAAAAGCTCAATTTTCGCCCTACATACCATGGATTTTCCCTGTTTCCCAGACCAAAATTTGTGCGTTTTTGTGGCTGCCTGTTTACTGCTGCATTTTTGCTTAAATGTTGTCCATTTTTGCCCAGTTTTGGCTTACATTATGCATTGTGTTTACTTGCTGTTCTATCCTAAAAGAATTGCTTGATTTTTGCTCTTGTTTATCCATTTCTACTACCTCAATTCCAATATGTTTTGCTCTTAAAAAATTATACATATCTATTGTTTAAAAACATGTATTGTTGCTCAATTTTATGGTGTAAAAACAACACTTGTTCACATAGTTTTTCTGCATATAAATACACAAAACAACCAAGAATAGCTCAAAATCTCACTTCTCAAATGGCTGTTGTTTTTCTACTTTAAGGGAATGCATCACAGGCACATGAACTAAAACTTGAGTAAGTGTTACTCACTCAGCAAACAAAGTTAGTGGCTACCTATTTTACTAAATCGAAACTTATATGAGATGAGTTGCAGGCAAATGAACTAGTACCAGTTTGTACATGTGGTTGCACATGTGGAGCAGCAAGGGAGTATACAAAGGCTCGAGAGATGAAGAAAGTTCACTAGTTTCTAATGGGGTTGAATGAAAACTTTTTCACTATTTCTTCTCAAATATTAAGCATGAAGCCATTACCTTCCCTAAACAAGGTTTATGCAATGGTGAGTAAAGAGGAAAAATAGCAAGCAATGGCGGCATCCAAAAGTCCAACTATTAAGGCAATGACTTTTGTAGCCAAGACAAACACTTATGCATGAGCAACGACACCAGGAAAGCATGATGTGACCATTGTAAAAAGCTTGGACATACCAAAGAAAGGTGCTATGAGATCATTGGGTACCTTGCAAACTAGAAGCCTAGGACAACCAAAACCAAGTCAAGAAGTGACACACAGAAACATCAAAGTAGAGAAAGGACTTAGTTTTTGCAACTAATGTTACACATGAGCCTGTAGAATGTTCATGAAATCAATCTCCAATTTCTGGATTAACCAAGGAGTAGTGTGATTAACTCCTTTCTCTCTTGGGTGGTAATGTTCCTTGTACTCATTTGGCCAACCTTGCAGGTAAGGCACAAAGTTTACCACATTCTTGGATTATTGACAGTGAAGCTTCAGATCAAATGGCACCTTTTTTATTTGAATTCACTAATGCAAAACCTTGTACATCACTTGTCTGCATACCCAATGGGTCCTATATACATGCATCTCATGTGGGAAAAGTAACCTTAACTGATAAAGTTACCTTGGACAATGTCTTATGTGTCCCAAAATTCACTTGCAATCTTTTATTTGTTGGTAAATTGACCAAACAACTTGGTTGTGTTTCAATTTTCTTTCCTAATTTATGTGTTTTTCAAGACCTTACCTTAAGAAAGTTGATTGGAGTGGATAAGCTTCATGAAGGGATCTATTATTGCAATTTTGGACATGTTGCGACAGTCAATCAAGCCAAGCAAGAGCAAAGCAAATCATTTGAGTTGTGGTATCAAAGACTTGGGCACGTCTCTGTTGACTATTTGTCCAAAATTCCCTCCCCATGTCCTTATCAAATAAAACATATTTGTGACATGTCATAAATCTAAACAAACTTGATTATCATTTCCTATTAGCAACAATACTTCTACTCACATCTTTGCCTTGATTCATTGTGACATTTGGGGAAGATATGCCACCCCTTCTAATAATGGTGCTCATTATTTTTAACCATAGTTGATGACTTCTCTTGTTGCACTTTGGTTTACTTGTTGAAACATAAGTTTGAAGCTGCTACCTATTTAATAAAATTTTGTCAAATGGTTGAAACTCAATTTCAAACTTATGTTCAACAAATTTGCAGTGATAATGGATGAGAATTCACCGATGGACTTGTAAAAGAATTTTGTCTTAAAAAAGGGATTCTACAACAAACCTCATATGTAAACACACCA